AAATAAAAGTATCGGTATCGGGCGAGTACTGGAAAAAGTGGTATCGGTGCATCCCTAGTGAAAACGTTGTGTGATGTTGCCTAACCAACTGTATTTTAAATATAAAAACTTTCCAAAAACTTTTGAATTTTTACCTCAGGATGCTGAGTTTCTTAGTGTTGCGCGTTTTGATTTCTCCTGGAGAGGCTGCGAGCCTCGCCTCAGTAGCTAACCTTATACTGTCAATAGATGCATTATATATAATGCATATATATTCTGATCAGAATATATTCTGATTTTATTACATGTTTTGGTGTTTACATAGTTATTGTTGGTTACTGATGTTTTTTTAATCATGTTACTTGTCTGGCGTTAATGAAGGGTTAAGGTCGAGTCCGGAGTCTAACTTATGTGCTGGGGCTCAGCCCCAGACGGCCCCGGCCCAATTTAAACCCTGGTTGTAGATCTAAATATTATACATGAGAAATATTGTGAATATTATGTTATAGTTTATTATTCTATTACACTAGTTAACACAGGAATATTTAGTATATTTAAGTCTGTAATAATTAATTAGCAATAATTTGTGTGTATTTTTGTAATGAATCAGTCCACTGAAGGCGAGAGTAGTGAAGAACCCAAGTGCAGTTTATTTACAGTGTGATCCAAACATCCAAACAATAATCCGAGACTTGACATGAACAGACTTGACTTGACGAGGCATGAACAGACTTGACATGAACAGACTAGACTCACCAGCAGCGGGATAAATACATTCATACACGACCACAGACAATGGCAACATGATGGCTACTTATAGGAAACAAGAGGGTCACATGACAAGAACAAACCAATGGGAAACAAGACACATGACTAAAACAACCAATCAGAACATGACACATACACAAGGCTGAGATACATGAAGGCAAGGGAAGTATGACACAAACAGCATAAAACAATTACAAAATAAAAGACATGGAAACATGAACAAGACAAAACCCAAACACCACATTACAATTTTAATGTTTATTCAGGTGCAATGCTTCTCCCCATCGACTTCCACCGCAACTGCATTATGCAAACACAATTTTGCTTGGCTTTAAAAACTGAGGAAATAAAATGTCATGATCAACATTCTTCTGTAAAGAGTGTATTGTATAGAACCCAGAGCATTCCATTGAATTATAAGTGCTAACAGTCTGGCATCACATATTGTGATTGGTAGCTACCATATAGAGAACACCATTTCATATGTAAACAGCCTGTGACCTAAGACATTATAAAACATCAACAGTTTGGATATGGTCACATTGTTCTAGGCATTTTGTTCTTGAAAACATTCACAGTCTGATGCACTGATGCATCATCTGCTTCATCAATCTCATCATTTGTGACACACACATGCACAAAAATGACCCAAAATGCTGTTGCATGACATCCGTTCTTCCTCTGTAATCTCATCAGTCCCCATTAGGATTTCGTGTATTTTCTAATAGCTGAGATAGGCTGGTTCTACATACACACACTAACCAGTACAACATTACAGTAATTGCAATTGTCTAAAAAGCAGTGGGCAGGATCACGAGCTGTGAGTTAATCGTATTCCAGGCACAGAGGGCAAACTCAGTAATCTGCTTTATCTACAAGTCAAGCACTATTCACTCATCACTGGACTGCCATTCTATGAAGCGGCTAAGTGCAGGGATGAAACTCTCACTAGCAGCATGACTACAGAGATAATGATGCTCCGCTGTACTCACATGATGAGGTCTCTGCATGAACCGTTTGCTCTGGACATATGAAATATAATGAAGAGGAGAGCAGGGATGAATTATAATAGTTTCAGCTAACAATAAATCTCAATATCACAAAATTACATAAAATTATCATTTTAAGATAAAATTTGCCTCTATATTTTATTTTGTTAACCAGAATGCTAACTTTGTAAATATAAAAAAAACTTTAATATATCCTATTTAATGTAAAAAAGATAGGTCTTTTGTGTGTCTGATATTTGTCCATTACATTATATATAATAATAGCATTAATATTATTACTACTATGACAGACATGAACATTGTAAAAGTTCTAAAAGTGTCCTGAGGGAGGCAGAGTGGAGACAGGGACAGCACATGGAAGAGAAAAAAGGAACATTGTCCGTCAACATGACCTCAAAATTTACCCCCCTATGCTTTAATACATGTCCATGATCTTCATGATTCAATGGTACATGTTATTTTATAATTATATTATGGAAATATTACACAAATACAACTTTCTCTGCAATTATTATATCATTAGTTCTGTTCAATCAATTCTGCTTTATTTCTCCTCATTCAATATCCTGTTTCACCCAAAAATACATCAGATTACGAAATTAAAAAGGATTGTACTTCCACACGTACCACTTGTACTTAAAAACACTACTCTGTAAACTCGCAACGTAATAGAGAGCGGCAGTCATGCATTTCCACCTCTGTACTGTCAGCCTGTCTGCTGCTGTTGATATTGCAGATATTGTAGAGTACAGACAAGGATGTTGGGTGTCTGAGAACATGTTCCTGTCCTTGACTTCCTTGAAGATTAATTGTGTCTTTACAATCATGAAGATACAATTGTTACACAGTGGCTTCCTCTTTATCAGAAGTTGATTGCTAAAGTCATACCACATATGACTGTCAAAAGGGAAGAGTGCAGTTTTTTATTAAAGGCCCTGAGGGTTACGCGTGAGAACCATCTGTTCAAACCTCTTAAACTTCACTATGGATAAAGGCATTGACCTGAGACTTAGACAAACCACTAATTGACTTTCTTTTGCCTTTTTGTGGGTTTCTGTGTGAGCAATAATGAGTTAGCACAGGGCACTGTGGTGAGACTTGTGGATGCAGTCCATCTTTCACTGAGAAAAATGCTTTAATTTTGCAGAGGCCCACATTGCCAATTCTATCACGCTGTTTCTTGTGGTTTAAAGTTCACTTGTAACTTGCGCCTAAAAAAGGATTGCACATGAAAAAAATGTCATATTTCTGCTTCGTACATCCAAGACCTTCACCAAACACCCTCAAACATGCTTTCATAGAGGACCAAATATGATACAGGTCACATCATGTATATTTAATGGGATCACCTCAAAGAAGAAGCTTTTATTTCAAAGATTAATGAACTGACTTTATGTTTATGTACAGGAAAATTGGGGATTTGAGAAAGTCATATTTTTCCAGCTCCACAAGACTTACCCATAACTAACCCATAAATGCTTTCACTTTGATCATTCAAGTGAGGTTTTATTAAAAGCATCAAGGTTATTTTTCTATACTGCTTATTCTGTTAATTAAACAAAAATGAAATATCATACATTTCCTGATTTTAAGACTATTTTTGTGCCTACTGCTCAGCAACAAGATATTTAGGAGCTATGAAACATCAACTGAAGGCTATGAACTAACAACAGCTCTCAAATGTGCTACTCTACAATCATTAGGGAAAAAAACACAGACACACATTCATTATTTACTTAAACAGTCACCAAAAGGGCACTTCATTCCTCCAGCTTAAAGCTTTAAAGACACAGGTGCTTTGCCATACTCCACTGAGCTTCAACTACGGCCTTAATACCATGATGACTGTCTGCGACAACTGACCACTGACATGCTAAATCATTCTCTTCTGATCTCGAAGGCTCAATATCTAATCTAATCTAATCAATAGCCACATTATGCTTCACAGGGCACACAGTGTTTACTGTATACTCACAACACCCAGTGCACTTCATCTGACAAAAATGAGGGATGCCCTGCAGCACTTGAGTCACACAGATTATGTTTGAATATGATAATATCATGTAAATGTACATAATGTTTTAATGTTTTTGTCTCGTCGCTCCGGCTGGGACAGGGCATCACAGTATGGTGAGGGGCGTAACATTTCAGTCAAACGCTTGAGGTATTCGGCCAATCACAACGCACTGGATAGCTGGCCAATCACAGCACACCTCGCATTTCAGACCGATGAGCTTTGTAAAAATCGACGCGTTTCAGAAAGGCAGGGCATAGAGGAGAAACAATAATGTACAGTATGTGGAAAATAATGTGTTTTTTTAACACAAACACATTTCATTACACCAAATACACAAAATAATGTTATTTTTAGCAACATCATATGACCCCTTTAAGACTCTTTCTCCACTGAGTGTCTGAGGTTGCAATCATTAGAGGAGAACTGTGCGTCATGACAGAAGTGCAGCATTAATATATTTTTTTAAACACACATAAACCACATGTGCCATGTCAGTGCGAGAACATGCAAGTATTCTGTATTCTGTTAAATAAGCACAATCCTCTGTGCATACCAAGCTGAAAAGACAAACACTGACAGCAGTGTTTTAAACGCTTAACCAGAAAGACCTCCTTGGTCAATCAACTTCATCAGATATGCTGTTCTTGTCAACTAGCTTCACCAGGAAAATGGCTGGTGAACGTTATCTTATGTCCCCACCCACCCCACCCCCAAAATAAACAAATACTTAAACAACATATTAATTTATTATTTTTTTAAAATCAGTATTTGTGTCATATTTTCAAGGGTACCTATCTAAACATCCTTTAAACGGGATACATTTAAGATATTTTGCCTGATTTTATTTTACAAATTAACAAGATTTCATGTCTTGTTTTTATACAAATCTAACCATTTTTTTTAGGTGAATGTTTAAAACGATAAAATGTCCATTTGTTTTACTGCTTTTAGCATAAACCTTAATAAATTTGGTAGATTTCTCTAAAACAAGACCAGAAATGTAAGGTATATATATACCTTGCTACGTGTATTGCATTAGGCTAACCGAGACTTGTCATTTGCACTTACATATTGTTGCTCTTTTGTTAGTTTTGATTGCTTTTATTGTCCTCATTTGTAAGTTGCTTTGGATAAAAGCATCTGCTAAATGCATAAATGTAAATGTAAGTAGAAACAGATGTTAAATCTTGGTGAAATGGTAATGGAACTGTTCCTACCTCTCCCATCATCCATCCCTTTGGTGGTTTTTCCTTTGGCTCCATGGCTCCAGCTGCTGGTATGATCAACTCCTCTTCCGGCCCACTCCGGTACATCCTGTGCCCTATTTTTCTTCATCCACGGGGGTCCAAATCTCCGGGGGGCTCTCCATGTCTCCTTAAATACCCTTCCTAGGAGCCCGAGACCATCAGAGGTAGAGCTCCCACCACCTGTGCCGCCCCCACCTTCAGATATAAGTGGGTCACGGACGCTTCTAGAAGCTCCAGTGGTGGAAGTGTTGCTGGAGAAGCCGGAGTGGAGGAAAACAAGACTGCCAGCAGTGAGGTAGAGGAGGATGAAAGAGAAAAAGCGTACCGGTTTACACCGGAAATAGCGGTGGATCTTCAGCAGCGGTCTGGCCATGATGGGCTCTCGAGCCACACGCATTGGCCTTTGATGTTACACAGGAACATATAAAATCAGAGACAGCACCTTCCTATAACTTCCATTGTCCTACGAGTCCCTTTGAAACACTAAAACGATTCCCAAACCAGGAAACAGTAGTTGTAATGATGACAGTACTGACGCTTAACACAGTTTGTCCATCTGTTAGGGACTTTAAAGTCTGAAGACACTTCCCCAGGTTTCCTCTGTAGCAGTATGCAGGAATGTGTCCGTGTGTCCCGTGTCTTTCTACATCCCCAAAGAGGCAGCGACAGAGGAGAACGGTGCTACCGCAGAGGCCATGTTGTGAAAGACGAGTGGCAGTGAAGACTGAAAGATGATATTGCTGTGGCGACGCTTTCACTCCTGTTATCAGACTCTCGCTCTCCTGAGGCCTTGTTTCCCACCAAGCTGTCCGTCTATCAAAAGCAGCGCTGATTCACTCCTTACTCAGGCCTCACTCACAGACTGAAAAACACAAAATGACAGATACTGAACAAGGAGTAAATACTGATGAGGTCTCTGTGCAAAGAAAAATACTTTATCTGAAAGCGAGTAAGAGTTAAAATTCAATAACAGGCTGCAGAAGCATTATTCATGACCATCTAAACCATCAAACACAGAAGTAAGAACCTTTTGAGCAATTGGCTTTGTAGAAATTTGCCAACAAGAGACTGTACCAATTTATGCAACAGCTACACTGAAGACAGAGGATGGTCACATTTTATATCCAAAAGTTGTTCAGCTTGAGGACTTTTGTCTTTTCACAGATATCTCCAAAAGACAAGGCTCCTATTTATAATTAAAACGCCCATCTTGTGATTTAATGAACATCTTTAGGACATTAAAAGAGTAATTTAATTTAAAATGGATTTGTTCTTCTGCTGATCTTTTATTTTCTCATAACAATCATTACATCAACATTGCATCACTCAGAGATACACAGTGCCAAAAACTCATTAATTTTCTTCAAAGAATGAAACGACCAAAAAAAGTGTTTCACGGCAGAGGAAATGGAAATAAATCTGTCATAATGATATTGTCACAATGTTACTTCCTAGCATAGCAAAAATTAAACGACTTTATAACCACAGCAAATATAATTTTCTAAATGAGTATTTTTGTCTCATTTTCCAGTAAAAATATCTAAACATTTTTAAAACAAGAATAATTCACTTTAGGAAAAAACTGCATATTAAGACTATATTCAGAGAATATACCTTGAAGTCTTTCTCACACCCAATTAAAACCTTGAAAACATCCAAGCATCCTTAAAACAATTTATGTGAGAAGGGGAAAAAAGTCACAGGCCCCTCCCACGACTGTTGACGGACACTGCTGTTTTAGCATAGACCCTCCCTGAGTGAGCTGTAAACAGTCCACCATTGTTTCGACGCCAGAGCAGGTGTAGACATGAATGTCTCCCAAGCGATTGAGGTGTTTTGTTGTTGTATGTAAGAATGAACATAGCAGTCATCATTTACTCCCGACATCTGAACCGCTGAAGACGCAGTGGATTACTTTTGTTTTTGAAGGGAATGCGTTTATGTCTGCGCGAATCATTTTACTCCAGACTGCTTTCCGAACGAGGGACGATTCAAGGCAGGTTTTGCTTCGTTCGTGATCCAGCTGCACCTCCAGAAGAAGTAGGTCTCACACTTTATATTTTTTATGATTATTTGCAAATCGCTTTTCCTCTTCCACGGAAGAGAGGGGCGGAGGTGAGCAGAGCTCAATTAGCATTTAAAGAGACATGCACCGAAACGGGTCGCTGTGTACAGAGCTGTTTTGACAAGGTAAAAAGGGTGTTGTTTTATACGACCACTGAGTAATTTTAACCAAAGTATGTTGCAGACAGTTAATGAAGACCCTAAAGAATCATACCAACTTTTGGAAAATGGGCATCCGATGTCCCCTTTAAGGTTCGAGGTTCAAAGTTTATTATAAGCCCAAAGGGTGATTATTGGTGCAGCATAAAATTTGTAAACATATCATACAAAACACACAAACAGCAAAAAAACAGGATGTGTACATTTAATGTGTACATTTGTGAATTTTGTAAAATATCTATCTTTGAGTTAAAAGAATTTACTTTCGAAACAAAACTGTGTTAGATATTAAGACATGTATTCAGATAATAGATCTTGAATACAAGTTTATTTTTCAAATCCAATTGACCCTTCGCAAAGACCTACCCCCGTTATTTACTGTTGCTATGTCCGACAAGCCATATATCATCACACAGTGAAAAATACATCATGGAGCAGAGGACACTAACAATGTGCCGACAGACAAGACAGAGCAGGTTACTTTTGGTATGAAACAAAGTATCAGCTTTCAAATTTTGTCATTTTGTAAGAAATTCAAACAATAAATACTGTTTTGTGCCTCTTTAATGCGTCGTGCAGATTCAAGCAGCATGTGAACCGATCTCTTCCTAATAGTTACAGCACGAAATAAACATGGATGAATATCAGAAAGTATGTTGTCTCAACTGCGGAAAGATGTCAATACACCATTTTCAAGTTCAACTCTACTGACGTTAATCTACTAACTCTCCTGTCTGGTTTTTTGTTGGATAAAATGGCGATCACCTGTCAATCAAACCCTTGCGAACGGTCAATTGGAGCATAAATTTAATTTTAATCAAAACAGTAAGGTTTGTGTTTAAAAATAGAAATAATATTCAGCTTAATTTAAAAATATGTTGTCAGAAAGCATTTTTAAAGTCTTATTACCTTAAGCCCGACTCACACTGTGCGATTTTGGCCAGTGTCAGAAGATTTGGCGCACAGTCCTGCAGTGTGACTTCTACGACGAACGTTTTTCAAGACAAGCCATGATCAGAATTAATGCTAGAGATTTCTTCTAACCGCATAAAATCCGGCGCTCCCGTCCTCCACTCATGGAATTCATATGATTCGTTGCCTTTGCTATGATTTGCTGTTTTCATGTGGGTGTGTAGTGCTGCTTGCACTATTCTTCTTAAATACACCAGTATTGCCACCATTCATATACTTTTAATGATAGCCAACATAACATTACCCATTTTTAACGCGTCTTGAGTGTCGTACAGTCTGACATTAATGACAACTGAGATCCCATAGTGTGACATGATCATCATGTTCGTACAGTCTGACAAGTACAATCCTAAAGGACTTAAAAAAAAAAATCGCACTGTGTGTGAGCAGTGTGAGCCCGGCTTTACACAATTTTGCTTCTTGAGTAAAGTAAGTTTTAGGGATGTTTAGATATTTTCACTCAACAAAAATGATCATTAAAACTGATTTTTGCAGTGAACAAACTGTAAAGCTAGACAGGATGGAAGTATTCCATTCCCATTCTCTCAAAGACCCCAGTGTCCACAGTGGGCAAAAACATTCAGGCAGAGTGTTTAAACAAGGAGTCATAATCAGCCTCCTTCCGAGGGTAACGGAATTTTCCGTAGCTAACATCTCGCTATAGACTTAACGTGAGCGTGCATGTGAGAGTGTGTGTGTTTGGGTATACAACGACCCAATGTCACCGTTACCTGACCCCTGGGCTCCCACCTGCCGCAGTCAGAGCGGAGTCAGGCTGATGTTATCGTGACAACTTTCTAAACCAGCAGCACACAGACTTCATTCAGAGCAGATATAGCTCAGTTCCTATAGAGAGGGGAGAAGAGGAGGGAAAGAGAGGGAAAATTAATTTAAATTCATGTTGCACACCAGTGTGTCAAGGATTTCACTTAGTGTGGTCACTTTTACTTGCCTTAGGCACAGGTTTTTTAACTCTGTAGACCCAGGCCTTTAAAAGGGCTTGTAAATGTATATGTGTGTGCAAATGTGTTTTCTGCGGTAAAACTCATAGACTTGTGCTTGGAGACATATGGGCGTCTGTTGGTGTGAACCAGATTTTCAAATAGTTGTATCTCGGCCAAATATTGTCCTATCCTAACAAACCATACATCAATGGACAACTTATTTATTCGGCTTTCAGATGACGTATAAATCTCAATTTCGAAAGATTTACCCTTATGACTGGTTTTGTGGTCCAGGGTCACATTTTAAAAAGATACAACAAAAAAAAACCTAGATCTACAAAAACTAGATGTACAATCAAAAGCATGCCAGTTAAAATATATGAATGTAATTGCAGCTCCATTTATTTTATTTTAAAAATAAAGTCAGGCACACCATTAAGCCCCGTTCACACCAAGAACGATAACTATAAAGATAACTATAAAGATAACGATATTAGCGTCCACACCAGCGAACGATATTGTCTGTTTATTCTAAGCGCACATGCGTCTGCCGCTTTAAATTCTTGAGCTCGTTACAGCAGGATGGATTCTGATTGGCTGTCAGTGTTTTATCGTTCATCAGCTGGAAAAAAAATAGTTTTGAAAGTGATTCCAACGATATCGTCTGTCTGTATCGTTATCGTTATAGTTGTGGTGTGATCTATGCTATTCTTTAATATTGAGAACGATTTGTAGAACTATATCTTTATCGTTATCTTTATAGTTATCGTGCTTGGTGTGAACGGGCCTTTATACTTCACAAACAGTTAGGTTTTACTGTAAATTATAATTGAAAAAATATTGTACTGTAAAAATAGTCTAACTGCCAGACATTAATGGAACATATTTAATCCTTTATATTAACACAGATCTCTGCACACTTCTTTAATAATTTAGAGGACATTCTTAGTGAAGCAGGATACTGAAATGGAAAAAAAAGTGGTTTGACCTCTACTTTAATTAGACAGGTCTGATGGATATTTTTTTCACATTCACACCAAATATGACTGAAAATGTTCACTTAAAGAGAATTCGTCTTGGTTGCTTGAGTTAAGGGCTATGACCTCAGGTTAGAGTCCACAGGCTTTTCCATAAATATACACTCCATTACTGCTAACCAAGCCACTGAGCATCAGCATACAGAGAGCTACAGTGCCATTACAGACACTTCCTGCACATGCCCCATTGTAAATAAAAAATACCACCGCTCCTGTGGGACCACCCACATTGTCACTGTACCATTGGCTCTGAGGTCAGGTGTGGGGAAAGTCCATGGACATCTTTTCACACTTTCCACCCAAGCGGTTCACAAGTTGAGGACTTGTATTTTAAGGTTTGTTTTCAAATGCTGAACTGTCGAAATATATCGAAATTGCAGTGGAAATAAACAACTAAAATAAAGTCATAAAAAAACAACAACTAATCATCATAACAGACTACAGACGCTAATTTTTCTGCCTGACAGACGGGTAATTTAGTTTTTAGGTTTTTGTTGTAGCAGAGGTTAAAAAAAAACATTTGCAAACAATGTGATGTAAGACAGCAATGACAAAAATAGTAGCCTGCTGCAGAAAAAAAAACCTACGGTTTGAACTACTGAAAAATGTAGATAAGTTAGCGTCATTATCTTTAGTTACTCGGATAAAACACAATTTCAGACCAGTGAGTTGTTTAAATTCCTTTACTTTCTGAATTCAAGCATTGGCTAGTGCAGTGTAGCCTCAGAACTCCCTTGTTTCCCCATCTGACTGATTGAGCAATAGAAGTAACAGAGGCTCTGAGGTCAGGTGGGGAAAGTCCATGGACGTCTTTTCACACTCTCCACCCAAATGGTTCACACGATGAGGACTTACATTTTGAGGATTGTTTTCACATGCTGAACTGTCGAAATATATCAGAAACAAACTATAGCCCATTTTGTGTAAAAAAAAAAAAATCCACCCTAAAATCACAAAAACAAACATTCACAGTAAATTAAAAAACACTTTCTTGAGTGAAACAAAATTTTGATAATAAAGCAACAACGTGTCAGTTTCAGCAAATGTTTCCCATCATAAATGATGTAAGTGATTTTCTCCACATGTGATTGTGGTTTGGCCACAATTATGATTCTGTAAAGCATTCCGATTGAACAAGTTGCCAAGAGATGTGATTCTTTGGGGTTACAGGAAAGTGGGCGGGGCTAATAAATGGACCCTTATTTTGGTTTGCAATGCTATCTTCCTTTAATTGGCTATTTTAATATGAAGTTTATTAGGCTATTACATTGACTTGAATGCACACATGTGCGGCTTACCATTCAAACCAGACTTACAGCAGGGCTCAACGATAAGAACTGCCCGATGGCCTGGGGCCAGAATGAAAGACGTGTCGTGTCTCAGACAGTGTGCGAGCTCCGATTGGAGTTCTCTTTCGTATCTTCTTGTGCTTGAATGGACAAATACATACAAAATTAAGATAAAATGCCACTCTTGGTGAGTATCCTCGAAAACAGTAGCTTATGTCTTAAAGGGGTCATATGATGCGATTTCATTTTTTCCTTTCTCTTTGGAGTGTTACAAGCTCTTGGTGCATAAAGAAGATCTGTAAAGTTGTAAAGACTAAAGGAACGACTCGTTTGGACTACAACGCATATTTTCCGGGATTTATGATATCACAAATACCGACGAATGGGACGAGACCTGGTTGAGCTGCACTAGAGAAGGCAACGGGTGTTATCACTATGTTGGAGACACACGCTAGCTTTCCCAAGGCAGACGAACTTAGAGTGGTTACAATCATCCGGGTTTAAATCGCGCTCCAATTAATTTGATTTTGACACAATATTTACACTGAAGCTTGCAGCAGGCGGCTATGGTAAGGAGCGTGACATTTCCCGACCAGGCGCCGAATGCTGCCAATCACAACACACACTGGCCCAGCTAACCAATCACAGCACATTTCATATTTCAGAAGACGGGCCTTCATTTGATACAGGAACTATTCGAGCTGTTCATGCCAGACTGGGTAGAGAGGTGTTGAAATAATGTAAAATATGTGAAAAATAATGTGTTTTTCAAACAACCTAGTATGACAGCCTGTTCTAGTACACCCCTAAAACAAAATCAAGACTTTGTAAAAGAGCATAATAGGACCCCTTTAAGGGAACACAAAGAGTTGAGAAAGAAATCGGATATGTATTATATTGGATCCATGCATTGTGTCCTAAAGTGAATCTGTTCTATATTTATTTGTGCTGTTGCTTGTCATTTGTTTATTTGTTCTTATTTTAGTTCTGACTTGTCCACTTGTCTTGTTTAGGCTAGTAGTTTTTGCTGTGGTAATTGGAAGCGAGAACTGTAAAATGTAACTGGTATCTAAAATGTTGGTGTCATACTGTAAGCTTATTTATTAGAATACAAGATAAATAACATGGGTCAAAAACAACAAAAACAATAAATATTAAATTGTTTTGTGGCAGGGACAATGAAAATGTTGGCAAGTAAAGCAAAGTAAAAGGGCAAGCAAAAATTTTACCTGGCCTGACCGGGTCAGTAGACAAAATCTTTCGCGTTGAGCCCGGTCAGAGTTTTCACCTGGTGAATGATAAAACAGGTGAAAAAAGTCTTGTTGTTGAGCTTCTTTGAATTGGACCAATAAGTCCACCATCACCAAAAATGTCTTAATGCTCTAGCAACCACCCTCATCTTTCTAGAATAATGACTGAAGGATTCACTAGAAAAATGTAAAAATGATCACAAAATCTCATTCTCAGTCTCATTTCATTATGTTTTTCTCTATCAAACCTTCAAAAGACAATAGGAAATTGCAGTGAAAATAAACAACTAAAATAAAGTCATAAAATAAACAACTAACCATCATAACAGACTACACAAGCTAATATTTCTGCCTGACAGAATTAAGGGTAATTTAGTTTTTAGGTTTTTGTTGTAGTAGAGGTTAAAATTATTCACAGCACATGAAATTGACTTTAGCAGACATTCCCCAATCCCTGCCAACAGTTCAGACAGAACCTCATGTAGTGTGTTAAAAATGACAGCATCAGCATTTCCCTATTAAAGTGCCGTGACCCCAGAACCACAGGGGCCCTTCTCTCGGCCTCACTCTCACTCTGCCTCCTTATGTTTTCTTTGTTTCTGCACTCTGTTCAGCAGTTATGGCTTTCGTTTCAGGATTAAAGGCTGAATTCCACAGACACTGTAATAATGTTTACATTAGAATCTTCAGGCCCGCAGGCATCCTGTCATATACCAGCATGTGTTAAACTCTGACTACCACTTACATTTGCCAAGAATACCCAAGTGATCTACTTAACATCGCCTTGTGTGTATTTAAACTCCACTTTACTGTCGCATTTCGGCACATCAGACCATATTTTACTTACAATGTAATTGTACTTTATTATACACTAATGTACCACACATGCACCATGCCTTCGCATACACAGGTGAAACTGTCAGGAAGAGTGTTTATATAAGTGTGCATTTGTCCACTACATTTTGTGCATAGCATAAAAACATCCAAAAAAATAAAAGATTTAAAAAATAAAAATAAATCAAGGTTCTGGAACAGCTTGTTTGTTTTATACAGCCTAAAATTAAATGGGTAACACTTTATTTCAGTGTCCATTGTTACACGTTACATATACTTGCTATAGTAAAAACAGTAAATTATGCATAATTATCTGCAACTAACCCTAAGCCAAACCCTGAACCTAATTATATCGTAAGTACATGTTGTTAACATTGTAAGGACACTGTAAAAATAAAGTGCAAAAAATAAATGCATTTAATGTGTATTTACCTGTAATGTGATTTTAAAAAGTGATTTAAAATGTGAACATCAATTCACGTACCTTGATGC